TAGATCATTTCCTTAATGAAGTAATGCACTAGACATGAATATTTCAGTGCAACTCTCCAATGCTCTTTAAGTAGTAAGCAGCTTTCAGTAACACAGAACCTAATTAAGCTGTACAGGATAAAAACTGGCATTCAAAAAAAACCTACAGAAGGACTAGATGCAGGAACAGGGATGTGCCTAAGTCCACAAGACTGTGGATTATAGATACAGCTGTGCTCCTGAAGAGCCATTACAGACAACAAACAAAATCAGAATGGAAGAAAAATCTGGGGCTATTAAGATGCTATTCTACAGCTAGACTGCCTCTCCTTTACATGTGCACCTCAAGCAATTTGGGGTAAGGATTGCTTTTCTGTTTCAGGTTTGTTCAGCATCAACACAGTGAGATGAGTATTTTGAAGGGAATTTCCCAGTTTTCTGCACAGCAGTGATGCTTTTCCTGCCTTCATGCTTAGCAAAAAAGGAATGGGTTGGCAAGAAAAAGGTTTCCTTCAGTGCTTTTTCCTGTCGTTCACAGCACTGAGTGGTAGTTTTGCTATAGAACATCGCTTTTCCACAGGTTATGGTAGCTCAGTAAGATATTTACTGGGAGGTTACTACAGCAGGCATGTACCCATCCAGACCTTCCTGCACTGCAGAAGCCACCCATTCCTGTCCCCTCCTGAGGGAGGCTGCCAGGCCAAGTTTTCAGACAGGTTGCTTGACACACAGGTATCCAGCACAGCCTTACAGAGGTGCCACACATCCAAAAGTCACTGCAGGCTTCAAAGCAGCAGCCACAGGTTTCTCTGGGATTCACACCACAGTATGACAAGATTCTTCAAAACAGAAAACACTGCAAGTCCAAGAAAAGCATTTAATGCCTTTGAACCACAGGCTGAAGTATTTCACACCAGAAGTTACAACAAACATGGGGGAGGTAAGCTTGGGAATTAATTTTAGCATGTAAGAGTCAATTTTTAATCCTCTGAAGGGTAAACCAAAACACTTCACAACAAAAAAGAGAGAAAAGTTTAAATCCATCAAAAGGATGGGAAAGAGTCTTTCCAGGTGTGAAAAAGCCTATTCCCAGGAGAGCAAGCTGGGAAGGGCAGGTGATAAAAGGGAGGAGTCGCTTCAGGGCATTAAGTGCTTATAGGGGAAGGTGATGGAGATTCTGGCTCCTAGCTGGATTTGGGTGTGAGTGGTTGTGTTTCTTGTCAAGCAGAACTCCCTGGGGAGTTTTGACTTGATGTAATGCTTTAGAACTTGTCAAATTTTCTTTTCTGTTTTTTCTCTCCCATAATGTCCTCCTAGCTGATGTGCTGTGTTGGTAGAGAACAGCATTCCTGTGGCTGCCAGCACAAGTCTGAGATCAGCTCTACTCACAGCTCATCACAGTGAGCTTGCCCTGGGCTGGAGGCAAGAGCCCAGGGAAAAGTACTGCCTCTGATCTTCCCTGGATTACACTGTGCACTGGCAAAGGGGCTTCTATTGCTTCAATTCTGCTATTTTTTAAAGTTTTTGGGTGTTTGAGAGTGACAGCTCTCAAAATGAGTTCTGTAGTGAGTAACTGCCCCATGCAGCTCTTACAGGAATGCTCAGCCCTGCAGCTCCTGGGGGGTTTCAAATGCCTTCATTCAGCACAGCTCCCTTGCATTTTTTTCACCCTGAGGACTTTGCAGGACAAAGTCTGTCCCAGGTTTATTTCTGTCTCTGCACACCCCAAAGGTGTGAGCTGCATTTCCCTGTGCTCCTCGGGTCTGATCAGAGAGCCTGTGGCTTATCTTCTGCGTGCTGGGGGCTGTCAGCACCCAAAATCGCAGCCCCTGGGTGCAGGTGTGTGTCTCTGGGTGCAGGTGTGTGTCTCTGGGTGTACACACACACACAGGTGTGTATCTCTGGGTGTAGGTGTGTGTCTCTGGGTGCAGGTGTGTGTCCCTGGGTGCAGGTGTGTGTCTCTGGGTGTACACACACACTCAGGTGGTGTCTCAGGTGTGTGTCTCAGGTCCGTGTCTCAGGTCCGTGTCTCAGGTCCGTGTCTCAGGTGTGTGTCTCAGGTGTGTGTCTCAGGTCCGTGTCTCAGGTGTGTGTCTCAGGTCCGTGTCTCAGGTCCGTGTCTCAGGTCCGTGTCTCAGGTGTGTGTCTCAGGTGTGTGTCTCAGGTGTGTGTCTCAGGTGTGTGTCTCAGGTCCGTGTCCCTCGGGCAGGTGCAGCGCTGCCGTCTTTGAGCGTCTGTTCAGCCTTTCCTTTCTGGCCACTAGAGAGAGCCCCGGGATAGAACTGGATGCTGCTGGAGCATCCCGAGCCCGGGCACGAGGGCCATAAGAACCACTTAGAAGAAGAATAAAGCATTTTTCTGCCTTTCTGCCTACTTTTTCTTTTTTCCCTTTTTTTTTTTTTTTCTCCCAAAAATTGTTGATTTTATTCTTTATTAATCCGATTTCATTTTCAAGCCATTGTTTTTAGTTAGATCTTCATTTCGCAGGGGAGAGCTGGATTGGTAGGTCATAGTTTTCTCCCATCCCTTGTCAGGGATATTTGTAAGAAAAAAAAGTCTTACCAGGAAGGACTGGACTGCACACCATAGCTGGCACTAAAGCTGCTGTGTAAAGGAACTTATTAAAGTTCCTTTTCAGTTTTGCTGGGACAAAGCCCACACTCCCCAAGCACCCTCTGGTACCATGGCCATGTCAGCACTCTCTGGACACTGCCTGCACCGGGGGAGGATGAGGAGGGGAGGAAGGCAGCAGTGTGGAGCACTCTTGGGTCACAACCTGTCACAGCTCCAAGCTCAGCCCAGGGAAGGAGATGCTGGTGCACTTCTGCTCTCCTGGGTATGAACCCCACCAGTGAGACACACATGGGTTCCTCTGGCTCACAATTAAACCCTGCATGTGTCAACCATGTTTGCAGTAAAATGAGAAATCATTCAAATCTAAAATAGCCAGGAAAAACCTGTCCTGTGACGCAGCATTACGCTGTTCACACATAAACAGAAATCATGTGTAGCATGACTTGGAGCCCTCAGCACCAGCCAGGGGCTCACTGTGCCTGTGCTTGAAGCCTGGCCTCGAAAGGCCATGAGGTGACTCACCAAGGTGGAATTAGGATCTGTTTGGGGGGAAAAGGGCAGGATGGGAGCTATTACTGAGCAAAAGTAGTGCCAGGGGAAAGGAGACCATGAAAACTGGTGTCAGAGCTGCTGCGCACCAGCAACAACATGAAACAGGAGCAGGTTTTGGCAGAGCTGCTTGGGTGCTTGTCTGGGGCTCTCTGGGGTCAGGGAGGCACTGACATTCAACAAACAGCCAGCTGCCAGACTCAAGTTCTGTGCTTGTTTTAAACTTGTTTTGCAGCCTGATCCCAGGTCTCACTTAGTAAATCTAATTTTTGTCATTAACTGTGACAGGAATTCTGGCCAGAGTGATTCAGGATCAACTCAGAGCATTGCTCAGGGATCACTGTCTCTGAAAGAAGGAATCAGGGTGACAGACACATGTACCTCAGACCTGAGATAACTGTTTGGTGCCAAGAGCTGTCACTGGTTTGCTAGCAGGATGCAAAGAATGTAGGGACTAGCTTTGCTCAGTACTGAAACTGAGAAGGAATAGTTTCAGGAATAAACCATGGTTTCACATAGCAGAGAGGATGTTCTCCACCTCCAGCCATGTTTTAACCCACCAGGTCTCTGGAAGATGAACTGGGAACGGTACATACCTACCACATGTACTACAACAAGTCATTTGTGCCTCAGATACCTCACCTGGTTTAGGTTCTGGGTCTCTGCAGCCATGATTTGCCTTCTGAACAAAAGGAGCATTGGTTCCAGGTAGGGAACCCCTACCAGCATGGAGCTGGGCAGGAGATGAGGATCTGGATATGCACACAGGTGGGAGAGTGCAGCTGCCACCTGAACTCCCACCTTGCAGGGCACTCAGGCTGCTGGGCACCCAGCAATGGTGATTTTTAATAATCCTCACTGGCTTAACTTTCTTCACAGACGGAGGATACATGGGAAACCTTGATCATCACCAGTGGCACAATGGATTCACCCACCATGGTATACCCACAGCCTGAGAGCTGCATGCAACTTGGAAACTCAGAGACCAATGTTTTCTAGTACAGAAAAACGTCCCCAGGGGCTCTTCAGTGCTCTTTTTTGTGGTCCCCACACCCAGTTCCATGTGCATATCACTGCAGCAGGTGGAAGATGTTTTTCTGGGCTCCAGCTGGCCCTGCTCCCACCACAGCCTAGTGCTTCAACAAGTGCCAAGGTTGGAATGAAAGAAGCCTTTCAGAGAAAACAGAGTGACCCAGTCACTCCAGACAGGAGGCTGCAAGAGGTTGTAAGCTGGCAGAGCTCTTGGCACTCCCAGGAGCCCTGTTTTTACAACCAGGCTCTTCCCCTGCCAGCCCCATGTGTGTTTTGCTGATTCCTATTTCCACTCACTGCTAATACCCAAGGGACTCAGAGATGCAGGAAGATACAGATGACATCGAGGCACCTGGAAGCACTGGGGTAGTGGTGTGACATAGACCCTAATCTAGCCCAAAAATGAACTCTGTTGGAGTCAGCACTCACTTGTGCAGCCCCAGCCCCTGGCCCATGGAGGGAAAGCCTGGTGCACCCTGTGCTGAGGTGCCAAAGGGCTCTCTGCTCCCCTGTGCAATGCTTATTCTCGGCAAGCAGGGAGAAATGAGTAAATAAGCATTTAAGAAAGGTTTACAGTCTGGTTGCAAGATCCAGAATTTATATTTTGTAGCCCCCTCTTCATTTCAGCACGTTCAGTCACAAACTGAGCTTGTGAAATGAGTAGGATCTGGTCTGCTCCTGTTTGAGCTGCATGTGGCTGCATCCTCAGCTGATGCCTTTGAAGACAGCAGTCAGTCCCAGGGCATTTGCCATTTTTCCTTCTTGTATTCTGTCCCGCCGCTGTAGCTACGTGCTGTTTGATGGAATCAGCAGGCTCTTTGCAAACTTAAAAGCTATGTTAATGAAATAAGAAAGAGCATCCTATCCTTGCAAATAATCATACTGCTTTATTTTTCCGTATCACAGTCTCAGGAAATCAAACAGTCCAGATCTTTTCCAAGATATTACATAGCCTTTTTTCCATGTCTGTCAACAAAATAATCAAATTAAATACAAATTTGTTTGTTTGCTACATCTATTACAGTGGAAGAACATAATTGTTGGTAGAAGCAGCTAAGTTTCAGGAACAAAGGGTGGAACAAAGTCTTACTTTCCCCTGCTCTTGTGTAACCCACTTAGGTTTCCAGAAAAGCACACGGAGGGACAGAAGGAAGTGGCGAATAACAAAATACGGTGATTTATTGAACAAAATGGGGAAAGGCAATGATCCCTTTACATTCAGGACAATTCAGGAGTATGAAGCAAAACATGCTATACACACACACAGACATGATACTTTGGTTAAATGTCATTCAGAAGTTCTATGCCAAACCTGGTAAAATTATAGAGTGAACAGTCAAAATAAAACCAAGAATAGGCTTGCATAGACAAGATTATTGTCAGTGTGCAATTCATATTTAAGGATTAGCTGTTACAATGCAGGATACACTTGCAGCTCTGAGGAATTTAAGCCTTCTGACTAATCCAGCTCATTGCATGGCTAATATTTAGATTCAACCAGCTGAAAGTTTACCCTGAAGAGCTAAATGAGACAACTGTGGTTATTTATCCGAGGCAATTAACTATATTGCAGTGCACAGATGCAGCTGGAGACAGACCATGGAGTCTACTTAGAGTGAACACTGATACAGTGGAACTTGTTTACCATGAAGTAGAAAATAGTCATTTGTGTGTGCCACTGTCCTCTCTGGGACTCTCCTGAAGAGCCCAAACTGCCTAGCTAAGCCTTGCCCTGTGCTGCTGATGGGGAGGAGGTGGCTGATAGTATTTCCAGCCCAGAAGCTGAGGCTTGGGCAGCTCCTGAACATGAAACCCATGTCCCAGCACCTGTCCTGAGCAGGGCAGTCCAAGTGGCACCTGTGTGCAGCACAGCCAGTACTGCCCCAGCTGCACAGCCACGAATGTGCTGGAGTGCAGCAAACTGGGACCTCTCCAGGTTTATGCCTGTCCTCTGAAACAAAAAGAAGATGCCCATGGTGTGCTCCATGCGAGGAACTGTGTCCCACACCCACCTCCCAAAGCAACTGCAAAACTAAGCCCTGAACACCTTGGGAGAGTGGAGCAAAATCACCTGTCCCCTGGCTGGGGACAGGTAAAGAGCAAACCTCAGACACCACCACCCTGCTGGGCATTCCTGCTGCAGCACCCACCCTGGCACAGGACAGCACCGAGCTCAAGCACCCGTCAGGCCGTGCTGGGAGCTGTGCTCCAGTTCCTATTGCACCCCACACACTCCTGCAGTGCCAGTGCTGCCAGGAGGGACAGCAGGAGCCATCTGCTCAGGGGACAAACACAGCAGATTGCTCTGGGAAGCAAGCAGTGAGTTTCATGGACTGGCTGTGCTCAATTACAAGAGTGTAAACTAAGTAGGGGAATCCTCACACTGTCTCCAAGTGCTCCCCTTTATATATATATATATAAATTAGCAATCCACAGTTAGTTTGCATACAGGTAATATGAATTAAAATAAAAACTTGATAATAAAAATATATAATATACACATTGATGAACAGCAATAAACTGAATGAAAACACTAGAATGTAACAGTGGCTGTAATTTGGCACAAAATAAACACACAGATGTTTAGCACTGTAAAAATAACAACCCATTTTTTTCCATAAGTAGAGAATGTTATCAATCCCAATTCAAATCCTGATAGGTGGGAATGCAGAGATATAAAAATACTGTACATACAAGATCCCTTTTATAGAGAGAGAAGCAGACTGCAGCATCTGTAACTTCTGTCCTTCTTCCCCAAGAGGAGAAATTCAACGATGAGAATTCGTCTATCCCTTAAGAGCTGATATTTCCTCACCCCACCAAACTCAAACCCATGAAGTTCTTTAAAAAAGATGAAATAAACCTGTTGGATCTATCCCTGTGACAACAACTGCTTCTTGCTGCAGGAAGCTTCACAGTCCACATTAAGACAGTGTTTCATAGCAAGGTGACTCAGGTCAGCCTGCTGAAGACATCGAGCATCCCTGCGTGTAAGGCACGATCCCTCCAGGTCACCCGACCTCTTCTGCAGACCATTGTGCTTTGGACGGAGGGGAGGAGATGGTGAGAGCTCCTTCTGCTGAGATGAGCCTACTAGGAAGGTTAGGAAGTGCCAGGATTTCAAAGAGATGAACTTTCCGTGTGGTGCCAGATGCCTTGTTAATGCACAGTCAGAAAGGGATGCAGGACCTGAACGACCTGGGCAGGGGTCCCAGCCAGGGCTCCAACATGCTACTAAATCCAGAGCAAACCCACAGGCAAAGCTACTGAGACTTGGCAAGAGCAAACAAGTGAAAAAAATCAAGATACTTAAACATTTTTCTGTCATAGGAAAGAAATATTGCTTTGAGTGTTTTTTTCAAAAGATCAGCTTCATTGTGCCTCTTTCCAGGAACACATGTACAAGGTGCTGATTTTGTATCTCACCTACACAAGCTGCACCTTCTTGACCCTCAGCAGAACTGTGGCTGCTGAGCCTGGAGGAAAGTGGCTCTTTGTTCATCCATAATCTTAACTCTTGTTAACTTCAGTGGGACCATGGAATCCCTTTTCAAAAGTAGTCTCTAAATATGCAAGATCAGTTTCAACCTCTTCCTCAGGAGGTCTCTAATCTGTACAGCTGCATGAGGACCCAAACATGTAGAAGATGAACAATTGCTCTGTTCTTATCCCATTTACTACCTGCTTTCCTCAGCTGCCATTCCTAGCATTCCTCTCTCTCTTCTAGCAAAACCTTGGGAACCCCCATTTCACAAGGACTATGGAGTAATAAAACAGGAGAAACACAAGGGACAGCAAGTGAATAAAGATAGGGAGAAAGAAAAAAGGACAAGGACTAAGGGAGGATACAGAGCAAACCAGCCCATAAAGCATTCAGCATCCCTCAAAGGCACCCAAGAAAGCAGCAACTGCTCCTGGGACCCTTCTCTTGGGCTCTTGTCTCTTGATGTCTTGAGTGGAGAGCTTGACTGGCCACTAAGGAGATCCTACAGCTCCATAGGGAGGCACTGAGGTGTTCTTCAGACTCTACCCAGCTTCCAAACTGAATCTACCACAGTTTTCCTTCACATTTCTACTCACTACCATTGACACCAACAACTTGGATGCTCCCAAGCGTGCCTCCTGAATTAATGTGTTATTCAAATGTGAGAGGGCTCAGGGTCTTCATGACTTTTCTGACTAGGTTAAGACAAAAGTGACACCAGCCAACTGCAGTGCAAGAAAGTCCATCACAGCCAGACAGAGAGGCCCATGGAGGGCTGAATTCCTAGTTGGTGATCTCCCCTTGCCTTTAGCAGAGAGTCACCAGCTTTCTGCCAACACAGCCAGTACAAAGCTCAGCCTCTTTCTGATTTGGCAGGACTTTTCTCCATCCACTTTTCACAAGTGCACCAGGTGGTACAAGCAGCAGTGCCTGGACTAGGGTGTTTGTAGGAAGTATTAATTCTTACAAACCCACCAGGCATCCATTTCACAATAATAATTACTCTGATGGCAATGGAAGGGAAAAGCCCACAGGAAAAAAAAAAAAAAAGGCATTTTCAGCAGTAGAAATGTTGACTGTTACATGAAATACAAAAATAAATCCTTACAAAATAAAACCTTGGTAGATGAAGCTGCCACACTGGGCCAAGTTATCAAATAAGAAAGAAAAAAATAGCATCTATTTTGTTGGGGTTTTTTTGTCTTTTTAACCAATATGAACACTTCTGAATGGAGAGAGACAGAATGAGAAGAGGGAACAAAGTAAGGACAGTAAAATCTAGCTGCTGACTGGGATATTTCCTGAGAAGCAGCAGCAAGGAAGACGTTAAAAGTCACTTTGGAGCCCATGCAGGCATGTAAGCCACAGTCTGGAAGCAAGGGTATGCAGGTAGCAGGATTCTGCCCATACACAAAGTCCTATATGGCAAAGTTTTTGGTTGGGGTATCCCTGGAACAGAGATCTGTTGGGGCTATGTGGTTCTTCACAGGTACTGAACTTCTGCCAATGGGCCAGTGGGGGAAGGAGATGGAAGTCTCTTGAGCTGTTGGTCAAGGCAAGACATGGGCTTATGGTGTGGTATTAAACCTGCCCCTGCAACTTATGTAAAAAAGGAGCTGCACTGTTTTCACAGTGATTTGGCCCAGAAACTATTCTGACCAAGGACAATAGCCAAGGTTAAAGCCCTACAGCTGCCTTGGGGCTTGAGCTGTGCACAAGAGGAACAGCAGACAGCCACGCTCTCTTCCTGCTTCCTAGAGGAAGGCCCCTTTCCCAGGCAGATCAGTGATGAGGAAAACAAGTCCATGCCCTGGGCACAGGTGTCTCCCCTCCTCTGCAGAGCCTGAGGCAGAACTGCAGCTGCTGGAAACAACAGAGTGGTGAGACAGACTCAGTGTTGGCACTAAAGTCAGGCTGCAGGGGCAAGGCAGCCAAGCTCTCTGCCATGAACTGGGCTAGCCCATGAATAACCAGCTTGCCCTGGCTGAACAGACTCCAAGACAGTGTCCAGATATTCAGCTTTGTAGTTCAAAAATACACCTGAAAATAATGGCAAAAAATATTATAAAGACAAAAGCATTGAAATGAGGGGAGGCCAAGGGAAAAGGCTACATAGACAATAAACCTGCAGACCCTACTGTGCCTTAGAGAGCAGTGATTTTTTTTTATTCCTGACAGGAGCTAGCCTGGGGTGCTGGACAGAGCAGTGGAGAGGAAAAGCAGTCAGCCCAGACATCATGGGACTGTTCAGCCCTCTGTGTCTGGTTCAGGTTGCCTGTAACTGTAGATTCTAAATTCGATGCTCAATGCCCATACGGCCCATCCTCCATCAGCCCCATGTTTACAAGACATATCCAAGTTCAGAAACAAGTTACTCTATGCATCAAAAACTGAGCTGGGAGATCCTACTTGGCTTCAGTGAAATTCCTTGGCTTCTACCACACTGAATCTCAAAGCAGGTAACCACAAAGATCCCTTCAGACACATAGATCTGTTTGTATGAGTCTTTCCAAACCACAACTCACAGCTTCTTGAACTCCTTGGCAACTCTTAAAAGTCATGCACACAAGGTCTAATTTCAGTTGAAATTGTCTTTCCTTTTAACTATTCTATCCTATATCCTGGAGCTAAATGCCTATACACGTTCTACTCAGGTTGTTGGAAACCCTAGAAAGAAATACAGCAGTTAAAAAATTCTGTTTCATAGGCAATTCCTGCCTCACCAGTCTCAGGGTTTGGCTTTTGCTGGTATATGTTTGACAATGCCCTCTCCTTCCTGCAAGCTCATATGACTGTCAGGTTGGCTCGCTCAGCTATCCAACACAGGAAGAAACACAATTCCTCTTACAGCTGTCCTTGCTAAGTTACCCTAATACAGAAAGGACTTGTACTTCTGATGTTCTGCTGCATTGCCATAACCCAACTCATTTCTTCCATTTTCCTCGATTGTACATGCATCTCAATTTGTTCCATTTGTCAAAGCTCCAGCCAAACTTAAAAATAAAAAGAAACCCTCAAAAGAATGTATGAGAGAGCTGCTGAGCCAGCTGGTTGATTTGCACAGCCCAGTGGCAGCTAGATTATACTGCATTGCTCAAGTCATCACAGATGAGTAAGAAATTGAAACAAACAATTTTCCTTAAGATGATGACACTTAAAGAGATGATGCTGGGAGCGGAGGATGGGCTTTCCATCAGGTCAGAAATGGAGAAAGTTGCCTGGCAGTTCCAGTAATGTTTGCTACAGAAGAGTCAGTACCAAAGCAAAGGCTAGCACAGTTTACTGCTTCCTACGGGAACCTGGAAAACAAAACAGAAAGGAAACAGTCTGTGAGGCTAGATCCTGGTGAAAAGATTACTACCTGCAGTCATATTTTACCTCTTCTGCCCTCTTGTCTGTCTGTCTTCTAGGGTACTAGTAAAGTCAAAGGCTAAAATGAAACTATACGTTACATGACTCAAGCAACAGGAAGAACAGATCCACAAGACAGGCAGACATGCATTTCTTCTAGGGTGTGAATGGTGCTGCAGCCCCTTTGCACAGTCTCACTAAAGCAAGCAGACCCTACAAAGTGCCATGAACTTTTCAGTTTGCTTGATGAAGACAAAGTATGTTTACTAAACTAAATTTTGGAAAGTGTCCACATTTAAGTCTCACTAGTGGAGCTGGAAGAAATCTGAGACTAAGCCATACTCAGACCGCCCCCTTCCTTCCCCAGAGGCCCTACAGATAACTCACACAATGGGCATTCACATTTAAAACAACTGCAGGGGTGACCCTACCCACACTGCTCTGTGCCAAGTGATTTCAGGAAACAAACCAACAAAGCAGTGCTGAGATGCTCCAGCCTGCTCTCAGGACAAGTTTCTGTCTGATCATCCCATCTGCTCACCCGACAGGCGAGGTTCTGTCTTGTATTGGATTGTTGGAGAGTAGTGAGTCACCTAAAATCCATCATAATGTTGTCTTCATGTCATTTCTTTGTCATTTGCTACCTGGATTTACAGTCATTCATCATTAAGAGATCACAGAGGACATACAGACAGCACCTTGACAAATGCCAGGCAAACCAATTCTGTTTTTCAGTCTCTCAGCCTGCAACGTGCTCAGCAAGTCCAACCCAAACACTGCCCAGCATCACCTGCCTGCTGGGGCATTAATTCCTACTGCCCTTCTCTATTTGCATCACTTTCAATCACTCTGTCCCCTGCAGGCTCCTTGTGGGAAGAAAACAGCTGCCAATAACCCAAGTTATTGGGCAGCCCTGGGGTTGGTCCTACCTTTAGGAGAATGCTCAGGTTTGGGGATCTGGCGCAAGGGGCTGGGCTGGCTCGTGTAATACCGAGAGTGTTCCAAGTCATCCAGGAGAGGCTGTGACCTGCAAAGCACAGTGTGAAAGGGTTGTTGGGAAATAACAGCACAACAGGGTAGTAAAAGCAACATCTCAGCTGTCTGGTCTGCTACTGTTAGTTTGATGCAAACCCTGGCTGGCCCAGGCTTTCTGCCTGAAGAACAGCTCCTCTGAGCACAGCCCATTACTGTTTCTGCAGTGAGAAAACCAGAGTATTTACTGCTTGTCATGGACTTCTTTCATTTAATAATAGTTAGAGTTGTCAGGAAATAAAGAACTTCCATTATTAAGTTTGCTGCAAACTTCATTTAAAAGGGCAGCGTTTTAAAGTGGTTAATGTTTGCACAGTTTTACTCCCAAAGTATTTTAATATGATCTCTCTCAGTTTACACCTGCACACTCCATTTGCTGTTTCTTTTGCATGTTCAACAAGAATTTCTAGGTTCCTTTCTGGAATGGAAATCAAAGCCAGTGGGGTCACTTCCAGGGTTTAGTACCTCATGAAAAGCATTGAGTATTAAGGGATTCAGAAGCAGCACTGGGCTACAGCATGTTCCCAGCTTGGGATGCACAATGCTCTTGCTTGCAGGGTGGTATTCACATGGAGCAGTGGGAGATGTATACAGTGCTTAACTGGGAGCAAGGACCAAGGGAGCAGCTGTGCAAATGCCATGGTGATTATGCCTTCCTGCCCAGAGATGACATTTGGTTTCACATCCCCCAAAGCTGTTTAACCCTCTCAGTGTTTCTCTGGCATTTAACAAATGTCACTGCACAAGCTCATCAATCTCTGTCAGCACCGGGCACGGGGACCAAGATGGACAAGTGCCACGAGCACAGTGAGTGACGCACATCACCAAACACCTCATGAGCTCCGTGCCCCCCATCGCCCTGCTCTCCACCGAGTCCCTTGAGGGTGGGTCATCCCACAGCTCCTCCCTAAGTCTCAGCTTCTCAGCAGCTTCCCAGCTGCACTCCCCATTCTTGCCAGCCAGTTCAAGCTCACCTTGAAGGCCTGTCACTTCTGTGTCGCTGAGTTTCAGGCCCTTCTCTTGACCTTGACCGTGTGGAGTCACCTGCATCAGGCTAATGGGAAGAAGGGAAATCAGCTCATCTGTGTGCCATGCAAGACACCAGCCAGTACACTGGGAGTGCCACAATTCCACACAGACCTTTTGTGCTTAGTTTACACACAAAATTAACTACAGCCAGACACGCAAATGGCAGCATCAGGACTTGTTTTCAGTAAACCAAACACAGCCTTGCTGAACAAAACTCAAATTTTGCACTAAAACATGACAGCAGTAAGGGACTGTTCTGAAGCTGGGGCTGAACAGTCTGTAATGACTGTGCACAAGGCTGGGCTGAGCAGGAAGGACCAGCTGCAGGCAGCTGTGCTCCTACAACCACTGAAACTCAGTGAGGCTGAAAACACCAGAGCTGCCATCATCCAGCCCCAAGATTAATACCATATCCCCTTTAGCATCTTAGCAGTGCTGACTATAAAACCTGCTGCCTATCCCCTTCCCTGCTGGCCAGCCAAGCCTCTCTGGTGTCACTCCTACAAAAATCAAGAATGATAGACTCAGGACTTTCATTACACAGCCAGTTATGAGGCAGAGTGACAACTGAAGCAGCTGCATTACCCTTACACAAACAGAACCAACTCCTGCTTTTATTCCTGCAGTCAAGATTTCAGCAAAGGGAAGATCCTGCACCAGGGACTGACAGTGCTTCAGGGAGGCCACAAGGTGCTGTGACATCCAGTGCCATCCTCCAAGGCCAGAGTCCAAGGATTACCTTGCTTGAGGCTGAAGCCAAAAGCATCTAATCAAGGAGGAGTCTCCAAAAGGCTCGGGAAGCAGCTGAATAACGGACAGCAAGACCCTTTAGATGCATCACCACACACAATCACCTCCCTCTGGAAATGGGAATAATGTTATAGCACCTTATCTGTGGTGCCTCCTGAAGCCTGGCATACCTTCCAATCTTGGTCATGCCTCCTCTTTTCAAAGGAAGACTTTTCTCTCTCTTTCTCTTTTCTTAAAGCTTTTTTCTCCTCAGCCATCAAGAGTCGAGCAATTTCCTAGAAGGGAAACACAGACTGTCAGACAATTTTACTGCACTTGCGGGTTCAAGTTATTCAAACCCTTTCCCATGGACAATTGCTGAATGGGAAGGGTGCAAATCCAGGATTTCATCCATCTGTGATCAGAAATCAAGGGACAGGGCAAAATTAAGACTGGTGACATGCAGCATGTCTAATAGCTCCCTGATTTACCAGAACTGCATTTGCAGAACCTTTCTGCCCTCTATCCCTTCTCCTTAAAGGGGTTGGTGGTTTATCTCACAGCATCTTGGATAGTCTCTCATGGGGTTCAGTTACAAGAAATGCTCTTCCAGAACCATGAACTTCCTGCTTTTGTCATGGTTGCAACAGGCAGCACAACTCCCTACCTGGCCAGCCTGAGCATATACACAAAACCCATCTGGGAGAAAATCCCACTGGAACCCCAAGCTTCCCCTACAAGGAGAGAAATTAACAATTGGAGGGTCAGAGGAAACAAGGGCTGTTCAGCAGCTTCTGCAAAGTAAAGGAATTCCACAAGTATTTGACTTGTTGCTCACCTCATCTTGGGCTACCTGAGCTGCCTTCTGATCTGCTTCATTAGCCTGGGTTGGGGGAGGGAAGTGGGGAAGGAAAAACAGAGACAAAAAATTAGCATCTCTGAATTAATCATGCTCATTAACCTGCTGGGCAGGGCAAGTAAGTGCCCATACAAATACACCATCATCCTCTCCAAATATATTTAGGTACCCCAATACTCACCTCAGAGCCCAACTTCTATCTCCCATTTCAGTTTTTCAACTGAATTTTGCCCTCATGTACCTGCCAGGCCACATCACAATGCATTTCCCACTCTGCTGTCTTCTCTCTCAAAGATGGGCAATGGCCTGTCTCACCTGTGAGCTGCTCACACTAACTATATCTTCATCTGCCTGGAAACATCCACTTAATATCACTCTGCTTCAGTACTTTAATTTTGGAGTTTATTTCAAAAAATAGGGCTTATTAGTTGGAAGCCAGCTGTCACTCCATATTCACATGTATGGAAGACAGAGGTAATTAGCAGAATGCACAAGAGCAAGACCTCATATATTAAAGATTTTCAAATTAAAGTTGTCCATGTTGGTTGCCTTAGTTTCTTCAAGTTGACCAATGCACCCTCTCTACTCACCAGGAGCTCTTCCTCCTGCAGCTTGCGAGCAATCTCTGCATCAGACAATTCCTGTTCCATTCGGCGTCCATCGTACATGCCTTGTTTCATCCCCCTCAAGTTGGTGCCTACAGAATTATAAAAAAACCCAGTCAACTCAACCATTCTCCAAATTCTTTGGTAAGGAGATGCCCACAATCTCCTCAGCCACCTGCAAACCCTCCACTCAAGAGAAGCAGAGATCACCACCGTGTACCTGCCATACCGCTGGTGTGCGAGCACCTTTAGCTGAGGTGCAGCACACACCTCAGGGAGGTTTCTCTATGCACATAGCAGTATCTGGCACACCCTGTCTTAAATAACAAATGCAACTCCACAGCACAACAGGCCATGTCCCTTGAAGCAGTCTTTGGTGACAGCAATGCTAGCAAAGGAATTGTAATTTGTCACTCTCTGCATCGATAGAGATACAGTGGCAAAACTGGGCAGTAGAGAGCAGCCCAACGTTTGATGTGAGCACAGCAGAGTCTGAACACACTGCTGAAGCAGCAGGGGCTGCACGGGTTACCTGGGACAGGCTCAGACAATGAGTTTTCATACAATTTCTTCCTTGGGACGAGCCATGAATTTTACAATTCAATGAGAAAACAGACAAGTAAGCATTACTGAAGTTCATGTAACGTTCAGTTCTTGTATTGAGTACAGAGTTCTGTTATTTTAAGCTTAAACTGATTAACACTTATTTTCCTACAGAAAGCATTCGTATCATGAGGAAGAAGAAAAATTGTCCCAGTATCTCCAGAGACAGACACACATTATCTATCTTTCTCACCTTATCTTATGTGAAGATCAGTTAGATGGCTTAAAGCATAAGCTGCCCCACACATTGACAGACATAGATCCAAGTCTCTAAACTCCTACTTTCACTAGGTCACCCCTACTTCCACTGTGGCTTTAAAAGTAGAAAGATGGATCTGGATCTTTAAAGCCTCCAATCCCCAAGTGCCTGTTGTGCAAAGACTACACAGGTATACATTTCCCAGAAAATTCCACTTGTAAAGAATTTGGCAATAATCTTACAAATAGAACCCAGCTGGATGCCCAGTGCCACTAGTGAAATTTGCCCATAATGAATTAATTAAGATGCCAGCAGGCTTTTCAGTAAAAAGTGGATGAAAATTGATGGGTTTTTAGTGCTTAAGCAAAGTGTCCTCACTTACAGTCCTGCATCTCAGCTCTACAAAATACAACCATAACCTAACATTCCAGGTTTTGTTATTTTTTTTCCTCCTGTACAAGGAGGCCACCACACAAAATGTATCACAAAAACAAAAGCTGGGTGTTGGTTGGAATTTTTGGGGGGGGGTCTTTTTTTGGGGATGGTGTGGTGTTTTTTTTGGTGAGGGGGGGAGAAATTTCTTTTCTTAAACAGAAGAATGCCAAGGGCACCACTTCCAACAATACCTTCTTACTCATCCTCTCCAAAGCCACGGAACATCAGGACACAGCAAGAACATCAGTGGATAGGAAGAATCCTGCTAAATCAGGGAGAAACCTGGGCAAGATTCCCTGTGTACACATTGCAGGTAGATACTGGAGAGAAGCATCTTCAAGGAAGCCAAACAGACACCAGCATGGGGCACACAAAGGTCCAAACCACACATATGCACACCTTCCCCATCTCTTGGTTACCTGGGTCTCGCTGGCAGTCTCCAACCTTCCCCTGGCTCACAGCATGAGGGGATGGGGAGTGTCTCTTGTGTCCTGCCATTTTGTAGGCTTTTGCCTCACCCCTCCTATGGTCATCTCTAGATGCAGCATCATATAGCTTCTCATCACGTGCCATCCTGTGTGACGAGTGGCCCTGATGACGAGATTTATGTTTCTCAGGGTGCCGTCTGCCACCCCGATGCCAGGTCTCCTGCTCTGCCTCCAATTCCATGTCAAGAAGAGGAAGGTGCTTTTCTCTGTCTTGCCTTGGTGGCTTTCTGCTGTGCCGTGCTTCTTCTGTGAATCCATGCTCCAACTCCAGGTCAAGACTGAGAGGTCTCCTCTCCTTCTCCCTGCCAGCTGTCCTCCTCTCCCGCAGCTCCCAGCTATTGCTGTGATCATAGGCACGGCGCTCGGTCTCTCCTTCCAGGTCAAGGCTGGGATGTCTCCTGGACCTTCCCTGGCTGGCTGTCCTCTGCTGCTGCTGATGGCCATTGCTGGCCTCCCTCAGCTGAGGAGACCTTTGGCAGCGCTCTGAGGTGGAGTGCCCGTGTTTGGGGGCACCGCCAGGCAAAGGCGAGGGGGGTCCTCGGCGTTCTCTCTGCTGGTGCCTGCACCTGCCGTGACTGTGTGCTCTGGGAGGTTCACAGATCTGCTCTCTGGGGTCACCCCAGGGCTGCTCTGAGCAATGTAGGGACAAACAAGGAGCGGGTTAGTGGTGCAGGGGTTAATGGGGGTTCAAGGCCAGACTCACAGCAGGGAGATGAAGGAGCTTGATACAAGGTGCTAAAAATGCAGGCAAAGCAGGATGAAAGAAAGAATAATAACAGGGACAAAAAAGGCTTGCAGGATACAAGAGGGGACTCAGTGAAATGGCAGGCTGGTTAGCAGGGCAGCACAGGAGGCAACAAGGTTGGAGCAGAAAGCACAGGTCCAACCCAAAAGTGTCTGAGCACCTCCTAGATAAGGACTAGTCAATATAAAGACAAGTGACTTTTAATGATGCCACTGAGGCTGAAAAACAGCCAAGAGAGCAGCTCATCTCCTGATGACACATCACTGCTACAGGATCCTGAAGCCACCTGGGAAAGGTTTGCAAAGAGAGGCACAAGAGGCAGGAAAGGTCAGGAGACAATGAGGGGCATAAGACCGGGAGAGGCCAAGCAGAGTGGTCAGGTTAGACCCTGGTTTGTAAGCATGGGTGCCTTGCCCTGGCCTCAGGCACAAGGTTTTTCATCAGAAAAAAACAGTCTCACCAAACTGGGGGAAAGACCCACACAAAGCAGAAAGGAAGTAAACAAGTAGGATAGCATTTTTTGTTTTTTGGGTTTTTTTAAATACAAGATGAGGATAGCTGCAGCATCCAAACATCCTCCACCACAGACTGTCACATATCTTTTGCAGACCCACAAGTTTCAGGGCCTGCACTTATTCATTGTCTAAATCAGCTCTGAAAGCAAAGACAGTTATGGATAGAAATTTTAGGATAGAATAAGATTTCACAAAACCCAGGCTCCTGACCTCAGCGTTGTAGCTAGAAAAGCTGTTTACTTGACATTTTGGTGGGGTTGTTTCCTCTGTGCTTTCCAGAAAGCAGGTAAATTTTCACTGCTTTTTATTTCAGTAGTAAACCTGAAGCAGCTAGGAGGATGCAGCAGTCTGCCTGCATACAATCTACTAATTGATTTATTTTTTCAACTAACCTATTTACTAAGAAAAATCATTGCACTGAGTGAACTATTATCTCTCTACAGCAGCTTTTCAAAATGAAAAAAAATGCCTCGAAGCAGAGATTGATTTGAAACAGAACTACATACACAACCCCCACCAAAAATCCCTGCAGCAGCAGACTTTCTTCAACTGTCCGGAGTTTGTTTTATAGTATCTCAAAATATTTAAAATATATTTCACTGCACATGAATTACATTCTGTTTTAATGAATAGCTCTGTCTCACTTACAATCTATCTAGATTTCAGAGGGAGAAAAAACAAACCTCACACCAAAACTGAATGTTCCCTTTGAGTCATTCTATTCAGAAAAAACATTGTCAGAGCCAGTAAAAATAGACCCTACAGAAAATCCACCTTCAAAACAAGTCTGTGTGACTTTTATCCAGAACAAGTGAATTTTTTAAAAGTCCAAGAACTCTAACAGGAACTGCTGTGGTTGCTCTTTAACTGGTTGGATTTTTTCTGTTCAGTTTTAGATCATTCATATGATTTACAGAAAAAAAATACCCAATCAAACAATCCAAGTGACTTACTGAACAACAGAGACCAGAATCTGAAAGCAAGAGTCAGTTCTGAACAATACCCATAAGGATCTAAAAATTAATTCAATTTTGTCATTGAGGAAAGCTCAATAAATACAAGAGCAGAGTGCAGGAGAACACAAAAGATCAAAGCCTGGCTGTGCTGGGAAAGGATTGCAGCAGGTAGCACAACCATGCCAAATAACCCAAGCAGAACATTTGTTTTTAGGGTATCTCAGGGTGATTAATTCATCAGCAGGTGCTGGTTCCTGTGGCACCTTCCACAGGGGCTGTAAACACTCCACTGACCCTGGTGTTACTCCCTGAAGCAGCAAGTGACTGAGTGAATACAAAACTGTTTTTCATGGCACAAACACTTCTGGGAGGAACTCTGCCTTTTCTCATGTTTATTTTTCCACTTTTAAAGAGCTCATATTGCTTTGGAGCAATAGGCCTAATCCACGTTCCTCCTGGAGGTGGATAAATTTTACCTCAGTCTCAAACAACAGAAAAAAGCCCCAAAAACACACCCCACCCCCCACTAAAACAAAAGAAATTTAAATCAAGGAGGTTTTATTTGCTTCAGTTTACAACTAATGAGGAAAATAAAAACCAAGGCTTCTGAAGCCTAATCACATGGTGCCCAAGTAATTAAGAGTTCCCAGAACAAGAAGCTAGATGATCCAGGCATAAAATCCACTCCAGTCGTTCACAGCTTTTAAGGAGCGCAGATCAAGAACAGCAGGAAGAAAACTTAGACCCATGAGATATCCTGCTCTCCAAATCCACACCACAGTCTTACTTCAGGAAGACACAGGCTTTGTCAGCTGATTTGATATAAAAATCCATTCTGTCCTACTATGTCTGCAGGCACACTGTTATCTATGCTGCATTTTTTCACATTTTTCCCATTTAATTCTGGAAATCTGAAGTGTGGGTTAACCATAGTACTCCAAGATCAATTTTTCCCAGCTTTGAACATGTAGCAGGACTTGTGATCATGAAGTTTCCACTTGGTTACTGTTTTGCACTTTTGAACTTTGTGCTTTGTACTTTCTTGGTTATCTTTGACTTTCTTCCAAATTGAAACTAAATACTTTGTGTAAGTTCAATTAATAGGCTTTAAAACTGCCAATGGCATTGATGTTAAAATAAGAAATGAGGTTTGATCTTCATCTTCACAATCTGTTAATCAAAAGCAATCCATCTTCCCCACCAGATTTTAGAAGAACAAACACAGGAACCACCACCAGTGCACAGCAAAGCCATCCAGAGATTGCTCCATAATTAAACACACCCTGATTCTCTCCTCCCAGTTTAAAGAAGGTCTGTATTCAATCACAGAAGCTGACCAAAAGAAAGCAATAAAGCATTGTGGATCAAATCATTTCCACACTGTACAGTCCCAGATGATAATCACAGCAGAGACATTCTGTAGAGATGACCTTGTTCTTCAGTAAGTCATTCAAGGCAGTTGTGCTAATTATACAGCTTGGGTACATACCTGCAAGGAGCTATTTTTGAAACACATCTCCATGAACCAGCATTTGCTCCTTCATGTAGCTGTGCCAGCATCACAAATGAAACGGCATGGAACAGTCTCTCTTCAAATGCAAGCATGGAATTTCACCAGCATTTCTTCCCCACATCCTTGGTGTCACACAGCAGTAACTGCCTTATCAGCCACTGTCTTTTTCCACCAACACTTTTAGAACATGTATGTGTGGCTACACTTGCACATACACACACACCACACTCCCTATCCCTGCCATTTAGGCCGCCTTCAAGGACAATAAAAACTACTAAATTGTCTTCTCTGGTTTTTTTTTCTTTTTTTAAACTAAATACTTCCTGATTATGAAATAATCCCATTCTAACACCGGAAACTGATGTAATGCCACAGTGCTAAATGCAGGACTGTAGGATAAAGGGAGTTTCCCAAACTGGTTGTCAGACCACCAAGTCCACCTTACACTGCCATGATCCTGACCTTTTATCTTGCAGAAACATACCTCCATTTTCTGCATAGTAACTCTCTTCATAGCCTGTGTGTCCCTGGGACTCTGGGTAGTGCTTCTTGCGCTTTTTTTCTTCCTGCAGTTCTTTCTGTTGTAGGAGACGGGCAATATCCTGCAGATATGAAAGAAAACAGATATTAAATCACCACTAAAAAGTATTTCCAGATTCTTTTACTCAAATTCTTTATTCAATTATTAAAATCCCTACAAAAAAAAAAGTTTAATTTTTCAGACAGTCAACAACAGTTACTCAAATTTAGCCCCTGGGCTGGATGAGGCTTTCAAATTAATGGGTGACAAAAGGGACCATGTCAGCAATCAGTATTCAACCTCACGCAGGCCCAGTGCTGAAATTCCAACACCATGGTAAACTCACAGGTTCCTGCTCCTCCTGCACACGAGCCTGCTAAGCCCTAATGACCAAGGCAGGGCAGAAGGTACCACATGTGCAATCTCAGGCTTTCAACAAGGATTTGGAAGTCACAGAAGTGCACACCCACTCACAGGAGTGGGCAGGATCTCCCCCCAGCACTCTGCCAGGGAAGGAAAAACACAGCGGCAAAGACTGTCCAGCTAAAGGCACTTCTGACTGGAAGGAGCTCCCAGAGCAAACTGTGAACTCACTTCACACCAGCTGTAATTTTCAGGCACTACAGGATGCCAAGCATAGAAATGCATCAGTTTGACAGACAGAGACTTGAAGGAAAAGAAAATCGAAAGGACATTAGGAAGAGCAAACTAGGCACAAGGCAGGAGCACAGTGGGGACTGCAGCCGTTTGTCTTCTGTCACAGTTTTGGTAGATATGCCAAAGAGAAGAGCACTCCATTTTCCTAATTGGTTTTCTTTCGAGATGACTAATGGATCAACAAGGCCTAGGAACTGCAAACAGCTCCCTGGGGCTTGCTCCTCTGAGGCCCAGGAGCTTGTGAGTCAGTGAAGCCAGTCTGGAGCTAATGAACAAAGCTGGGAGATACCAGCAGGGCATGCTGCCCCTTTGGATGCTATTCATTTAAGCCTTCCTAATCCTCAGGACCTTTACAGAGCCATGCATGTAAAGTGGACACTGCAGGCAGGAAAGGCATGGCTGAAATGCAAACTAAGAGTCAACACCCTCCAGAGCCAAGCCAGCACTGGAGGACATTGGATGGCTGCTCAAGTACAAAGCATTACTTCAGGATTCAGGTAAGATCTGCTCTGAAAACAGCACTGTGAAAAATCTGGGAATGCCACAGGCTCCTTAAAAAAAAAAAAAAAAAAAAAAAAAAAAAAAAAAAAAAAAAAGAAAAAGCCCCAAACCAAACAAACCAAAACATTACAAACCTCCACAAACTCCTTCGCTGACAAGGTTAACCTTTCTAGCAAGTACAGTAAGTCTATAAATACATGAGCTAAAGCACATTATCTCCAGGACTGAGACAGCTCAGGACTTGCAAATCCATACAAACCACTTCTTACAAACAGGATTCATAAGCAGGCAGGGCAGGAAGGCTTAGTTCTTCATTTAAAAACCCTGCACTCCAGAAAGGATCTGCCTCAGTCCTCAGCTACATTTCAGCCACACTTGGGAACTTCCCACGTACCAGCAGGAAGAGATAGAATATTTATGACTTCTTGCTTTAAGCCACAGTCAGCTGAAGCCTGCTTCCAACAGCACAAGATGGTCAGCAGGCAGGTTTGACAGGCTGCAAGGACCTGTTGTCAGACCGCTAACATCCCTGCAGTTCTCTACCTAAAGCAGGAAGGAAAGGTGCAATTCCAAGAGTCAACATTAGTTTTGCATCTCCTTCACCTTCCCCATAAAAAAAATGACAGATTGGCTACAGGATTTTTGCTTAAGAGGTAGTAAAGTGTTCCTCCCATTCTGTTACCACAAGCTCTTCTTGGAAGCCAAGCCCTTTCCATCTGTCTGGGCAGCCTTTCAGTACTTGCTTGGAATTAATCGTAGAAAAAGAAAATGAAGTCTTGCAAATAAACCCCATGCATCTGTCAGGTAAGGGCAGATTCTTGTTTCAGGCTCTTCCAGGAAATACAGCCTTGTGTTCAAGCTCTTTGTATACAGAGAATGCCACCAGGTGCCTCTTAAACATCCTGAGACAACTCAGGCCACTTTGGAAATCATCTGAAATCAAAAATGGGGACATCCTCCAGGCTCTCACAGGTGTTCCTCTACTCTGTGGATTTCTTGAAAACTTAATCTGACAGGCTGATGACTGAGGTGACCAACAAGCAAAATCCTTTTTGCACCAAGAACAAACCACACCACCCACTCTCAAGCAAAAGCAGCACAGAAAATTCTGAAGTCACAAAAGGAATCTGCTAGCTAGAAACTCTAACAGGGTGCTCAGGCTGTGAAAGACTAAACTGAAGAGTGGAGAAGCCAGAAACAGATGGCTGGGCTGAGAGTCCTGCTGAAATCTTTGCATCAAAGACAAAGAAATCACAGCCTGTCTTGCATTTGAGAAAGCAAGCGTGTCTCAGAGTGTATAAACAATTACAATTTCCTACAGCAGGGCAATAAATACCCCAACAAGACTAACCTATTACTTGCCCTCTTCATTAGCAAGGCCACTGGCATCAACAACCCTTATGACACTTGAGCGTGAGTACTGCGACTGTATCTTATTCCTGTAACAGGACTCCCCAAAATCTCTGTGCATACAGAGATCTGTCAAGACAAGGACTGCCACCATGCAAGCCAACTCCTGTGGCCACTGGCCAAGAAATGTCTATCCTGAAAGGGCTGCTACAAATAGCCCTGCCTTCCCTGCAGCTTTAAAGGTTACCTCGTCTTTTTCCTCTTGCCTGCGGCGTTCCTCTGCTTCAAACGCAAGCTTCACTTGGATTTCCTGAGCAATCTCGCAGTCCTGTCGTTCCCTAGAAGGCAAGGAGACAGGGATTATAGGCAGCTGAAATCACAGGCATCAGTCAGCCTGGAGAAAGGGATAAAAGAGCTAAAAAAAAATCCACCTGATTTACAACAAAAGAATTATTACTCAGTGTTAGTGCAGAGCTATGAATCCTCATCAGGGACCAGAACTCCCTGTACTTACTGGTGGCCAAATCTAGAAAATACTTCCCAAAATATCCACGGAGTAAAAAGTAAAAAGAGATTCATGGGCAGATTGCTAAGAAATGAGATAGGTACTACAAAATAGGGCAGGCCAAGGTAGTGCTCAGGAGTCTGCAAAGCTAATTCTGCTGAGTTTTCGTACGTGTGGTATCAAAGGAGGGGTTCACATGTATGGTTAATGCAGGCACTTCTGGGAAGTGGCTTTCACTTGTAAGCCAAGGAGAAGGAAGTGCAGGAATATGGTACATAGGCCAAGTGGAGGCTGGAGGTGGCAGTTAAGTAATGAATGAGAAATGCCACTGAGGTGGGATGAGACACGAAAGCAGGACCAGTGCCAAGAGGCAAGGAGAAACATGTCTCCAAACAAGGGGGAAGGAGCCATTGCTACAGTGCCAGTAAGGATGCAGGAACACAAGACTGCATTAACTGGGGACAGGGAGAGATCAGAGCAATTGAGACATGAGAGGTTTGGCTGTGCAGACAGACCAGGAAGGCTGGAAATCATCTGCAAGAACAGTGCCACATTCAGCAGCATGCTCTGACGTCCATCAAACAGGCTGGAACAATAGCCAAGGATTCTTCAGGACAATTCAGAAACGAGCTGGGAGATTTGAAAAGAAAGACTAAAACCTCTCTCTTTCAGCACTGTTGAGATTGAGCTAAAGAGCAGCTCTAAACAGGTCAGCAAAGTCAATCCCCACAATGGCAGCTACTGAAAGGCAAGGCATAGGAGGAGAACAGCTGGGAGCAGCAACAAGCAGAGCTATCAGAATACAATCTTTTGCAGAACAAACTGACAATGAACAGATAGGTGATGAGAAGACTACCAAGAGTGGAAAATAAGCAAATAACTGAAGCGGACCAAGCTATGCCGAAGCTGTGCTACGTGGGCTGGAGCAAACAGCTCTAGGTTTGAGGAAGAATCTGGGCATAAATGACCTAGTGAATCTGGAGGCAAAAGACTGGAAGAGAACTGAGGACATGAGAAGAGGAAGATAAAACACTTTTAAGTACAGACAAGCACTTTTTGTTGCAAAACCAAGAAATGTGGCATGGCTGGAGCAGCCAGTGGCACAACAGGGCCTTCTTTTACAGAAAGTGGATAGAAGAAGGAGAGAAGCAGACGGGGTGGATATGTGGCAAGGGTGGAGAGGAAGGACATTGCAACATGAGTGTTTGGAGGACAGATGTCACTAAGAAACAAGTCATTTGTCATAGGCAACAAAAAGGCACACAGAGCAGGAAGAAAAAGAAGACTATTTCTGTCAACAGCTCCTTGGAAGCAGACCTGCAATCAGGCTGGAGTTATCAATAGGTTAAACATGACATCTTATGACATGAGTTTCTTTCATCCAGGTAACAAAACCTGGCTACATTTGCATGTGCCTATGTGTGTTTCATTTGACTCTGGGGACAGATCTGTTCAAAGCCACAGGAGTTCACACAGCAGCACATCTAGCTCTTAAGCGTGCTTTTTAAAACAGGGACCTTGGCAAAGCTGGCACCAGCAGAGAACCACATCTCCCAGCAAAACAATAGCTGAATAAGTAAATCCTAGGGAGCAGGCTGTCAGTGAGCCTGGTAGTGGATCCTTTACAACCCCAGGCTCTGAGGACATGAAACCAGGTAGAAAATAAGTTAGAAAGGTCAGACACATCAAGGCATTGCACGTCTCCAGTTCCCCTGGCACCTGTGAGCAGAGCTAAGGTGCCAAGTTCATCAGCACAAAATGACTTGCTAAATGCTTAAAATACATCCTATTGCAGACAAACAGGACAGAAAAATAACTAATCATCTTTCACAGCCAAGGCAACAAGGTCATTGCCTCTCTGTTAGCAGCAAAGAACACCACAAGTATTGGAAACACAAAAGTATTTTCTTCTTTCTCATGGCACATCTTGGAATACACCACATCAATTCCTAAGAACTAAACAGCCACAGAGGATTAGATTTGGGGTTTTATTGCTCAGCAGTAATTAAATACTGAGACTTGATTAGTCAGTCAACAAAGTAATGTATGAACTTGTATGAGCATAAGAAAATAGGTTCAAGAGTTTTGACAGCTCTTCTTGTCCTTCAGTTTCCTTAATGTGAGCTCCAATGCCCATCAGACCCCAGAAATCAACCAGAGCAACATAAAAATCACCATTCCTGAACATCCCACTCATGTCCTTCACTCCTGGACAGCCAGGAGTGTTAAGGATGTTGTGAAAACTCTACATCAGTTTATAAAACTAAAATTTTGTGTGATCAGAAAGCTCCCTCCCCTTCACAGTGACTGCAGCTACTAGTTGCTGCCAGGTAAGGATTAAAAAGGGAATGTTTAAGGGAACTGTTCAAAGTAACTGTTCACATCAGTGCGACAGAGCTATCACAGCACTGGGAGCAAAACAGGGAAAGAACATATTTTCACACTATTTTATTTTAGTAATCTTGCTACTATGCTTAGCAGTGTGCAGGCTGCTCAGCTAGATGTGAGAGATGCTTTTAAAGCACAAAAATCAGGTTTGATGCTTCCCTGAATTCTTAAAAAGAAATGTTTCTATTCTCTCATTTATCTTCACAAAGTCTTCCTGAGAGAAATTAGGACTTGAATGAGAAGAAAGAAAATAAATTTGAAGAGTTTTTTTGTTTCCTGCTTCTAAAGACCTCTTAGTTCTGCCCTCTTACTCCTCCCATCACCCTGTTCTTCAAACTGTCCTAGATGACACAGAGAGCAACCACAGGGATTATTTTGTTGCCAGATCATGGACAAGGAAGAGACAGTGGGAACATACAAAAAACTAAGGAAGAAAAAGATCCAATTATAAAAGGATGCCTCCAACTTCTTTTACTATTCTTGCAAAAGAGCTCCTGCTCTCAGAAGCAGAACTGCTGCTGACACAACATTTTACATCAGCAGTTCTGCCTGTGCTTTAGCTCCAAAGTTCGTAAATCCCATTTTACAGAGTCCTACAAGAAAATTGTTTGCAGCTCCTAGCAAGAAGAATCATGTCTGCCATACAAAATCAATTTTTATGTTGTCATTTACTCACATCTCTAATTGGTAATAAGACAAAACTATTGTCTTAATAAGACTTGAGAGATGCATATGTACATAAGGTCTGTCCCAGTGTGCTGATCTGTCACGCCCCAGCTTCAAAGCTTTCATGAGACACTGCTTTGAAGCCAGTCCTGTATCTCCCACATCTGCAGCACAGAGCTCTTCTGCTCTGTCACTGGTCCCGTCAGATGAGCCACCCAGGCTCTGTGATCCACCACCAACTGCACCTGGTGGGTGGCATCCCAGAGCCCAACAAAAGCCAGGAGGCAGCACAGCTGCTAGGAGATGCATCCTGCCTTGTAGACCTTGTATTTGCAGGGACCCCCATCCAGCCACCTCTCACAAGTGGGATCTGGCTGAGTCCGGTCACACAAACTCTGCAAGTCCACCCTGGATTGGAAACAGTTTGTTTTGACCTGTGCTGCCATGTTTAGCTTCTACAGCAGCTCCACAGCTGAGAGCCGTGACACACAGAGAGCCAAACCACAGACCACAGGGTTAAGATGTGGTGAGTAGGGACTGAGCAAACCTGCAGAGCAAACTGGATCACTGATTAAATACCCTCCCACAGTTGCTGCAGAAGTCAGTGACTGCAAGAGAAGGCCTGTCCCCCAACACCCATCCCATCGAGCCACCCTGGAGCAGCAATTCCCCTTCCCAGGTCATTTCACACTGAACATCTGCAAGCACAGGCAGGGGCTTTCAGCTGTCAGCAGGACACCAAAAAGCATCACACCCAGCTCCTCAAAAGCACATCATCAGGCACAGGGAAAACACACTAACATCTGCACTTACCACATAAGGGAGATTTCCCCTGTAGCACTGTGGCACAGGTCCCTCACTCTCAAACTTCAGCCAGGGACAAGGTCAACACAAGTGGCCAAGTTACCCCATTTTGACAACAAGCAGTACAATGGAAAGGCTCCTTCTGATCAACAGACAACAGTATCTAAGGCAGGATGGGCTTCAGGACCACCTGCTCCCACCCTGTTCTCATTCCTCTGCGCCAGAGCCTGCTATCAATACTTTTACAGCAATGGACAGCCAAAGCAAAAAAGAAACAAAAGCAAAAGGCTGATGAACTGCAAGCACTGCCAACTCAAAGCAGCTGATATTAGTGCTCTGACCAAATTGGACTAGCATTCCCATTCCAAGATCTCCAGCACAAACTCACAAGTCTTTTTGGTGTTTCTGGATTTGAGCACGGGCTTTCTTATCCTCCTCTTCTTGCAGTTGCTTGGCCATCTGCAAGTCATGTTGCACCAGACGATTACGCTGAACATTTGTGGCCAAGTGATGCTCAACTGGAAATAAACACAGACAAGAACCCTCAAATCAGGCTGCAGAACTTCACTGTGTGAACAAGATAAACCAAGTGGGAGGGAGATTCCAGCCCAGAAAGGAAGGCAGATCTTGGCAGGGAAACACCGAGCAATCTCTCTAAAGGTGGGAAAGTCCTGAACTGAAATTATGCTAGCAGCTTGAGATTGCCTCTTTTCAGCACTGAGGGGGCTGTATACGTGTCTGTTACCAAAACAAGCTCTGCATGTCTTAACATATCCACGTTTATGGGGAACAGTTTTTAGGCTTTGGATTTCATTTTCTGACCATGGAAAATCACCTTAGATAAATGAAGAGGGTCTGGGAGGGACCACCAGAGGCCAGTGAGGATGTGCTGAACCTAAACCACTCCTTATGGATACTTTCCAAATTTGTTCTCAAGAACCTCTACAGAAGAAAACTCCTCTCACTCTCAGCATAATCAGTTCTAAAAATCTCACTACCTTTATATTTAGCAACAGAGCAACTTAGTGCTCCAGTGAGTCCTTTACCATACATGGATATTGCCTGCCAGAAAAAATGGCTACATGAACTGCAGCCCAGTCATCTTTAATTCAGTGGTCTCAGGTTCCAGCACCAAGGGCACAAGCAGCTGCACCCTTGGTGGAGCAGCAGGAATGGCATTAGCACCTGGTACTGGCAGATACCAAATTGGTGAGAAGTTGATTAGAGAGGCCACCACACTTGAAACTGCAATGTAAACATACCCAAAGTAACAGATAAGCATGTAAAAAAAATCATTTAAAAAAGAAAAAAAAAAAAAAGGGACCAATCACTTTGAAGTTCCTGGCTGTACTTTTATTTCTCCTTTATAAACCCTTCAAGTGTACAGCTGCCCTACCTCAAAATGTCTGAAAAGGAAGGCTCCTTTCAAAAGGCAGACACTGGCAATTCTGAAATAAGTAAACAAACAGACTTCTTCTGGTTGTACTTCAGGTCAGACTATAAAACTTGAAGCTTCCAAAATTGCTAGTCATTTCTAAAATCCTTGCACAGCAACAAAACCCCAAGTGCACTCCTACATGCAATTTTATCATAAATGGCATAAACAAACTCAGCACAAAATTGAAATATGAAATGCAACTATCTCTGGGGTACAATGTGAGTTGGAGCAGAGCGAAGTGTAGTATTACAGGATAGTGAAGACAGCAATAATAAACTGTATTCCATTAAAAGGAAAAAAATTAAATAAAAGCAGGAAGCATTTTTCTTGGCAAAATCAAATAAAGCCAGATATCTGTTGGGACAAGGTTGCTTCAGTTTGTTCTGAAGATGATTGCTACTTACTCTCTTGTTCCTGTAAATTATGGGCCAAGGTATGATCTTCCAGAATAGCAAAGTCTCGACATACTGAATAGGGAAACAAAGTAAAGATAATTAGCATCAGGAAAAACAAAAACAAACAAAAAAGCATCAAACGAGCTATGGCAGTCAGGGGAGCATAGAGACATATGGACTTCTGACACACTTTCTACCAGCCAAGGTTCAGACTTGTGTTTTCCCCTGCTCCTGCCATCATGTCTATTTTCGTATGTATTTATTTCTTTGTCCTTGTTGGCATAAAATGCCTTCTCCACTCTCCCCTCCACCTTCATTTAAAGAACAGAACTGTCCATGCTACCACTGGATCAGATCTTATGTACAAACCTCTGCATTCCATTCAAACAGAATATATATTATATATTTATAGCAATGCCCACACTGACTGCATTGGGTTAAAACCAAGGGCAAGCATTTGTGCTTACTGTGACTTCCTGTGCCAGGTTAAAGAGTCTGAGAATACTATTTTCATGGCACAAGGGGTATGTGCACACTGGCACCCCTCCAAAACTGAACAGACTGAGCTCCATGGCTCTCACTGCAAGGCATTTCCACCAGCTCAGGCATTATTTTCAATTGTTTCTTGTAAGCTTTACTGATTTAAAGTGCAGATGCTGGATTTGCACCTAGAACCCAGATATGGGATCAACAACAGCATTATGGGCAGGGAGAAGTAGAGCTTCTTCAAAAGATGTTGAAAATGACCTTGAAAAAAGTGAAATCGGAAACAGATGAACTCTCTTTAGCACCAGTTTAAAAGCAGAAGATTTTTGCCAATGCCTATCACTTTCCCACCTTGACTTTTACAGGAATGCTCTACTTGCATTGTATAAAAACACCAGAGTGTATTTTTAACTTGTTATGATATGCAGTAGGGCAACAAAACACAAGCCACATACATACTGGGACAGGGACAGACACACAGCATCAGGCTCAGCCTTTTGGTGGCAGGTTCACATCGGCTTCTCAGTGAACCCAAGACAGACAGTGACCTGTCTCACACACCTGCCAGACCTGGCATTTCTGCCTGCTTCAAGAGAAGTTTAAGGCAGTGGCACCAAAAATTTACACTAGAGAGGTCTGTCACTTATTTTTTCCTCAATGTGACAAGCTAAGAAGCTTAACAGCACCCACAGAGGGGAGTATCTCCCACTTGAAACACATCACAAAACAGAGAACTACAAGGTGCTTCTAAAGCCACAGAGGGAAGTACAAACTCCTCCTGCTGCACTCCACTGGCAAAACCTCTGGGGAAGACCAAGATTTCTCTTTAGCAGAGCACAGGTACAGCCTAAAAGATTAACTGAAAATAATCCCAAAACCCCCAGCATGCATCAAAAGTACAAGGGGAATTTATGAGGATTCTGTTTGTGAAAGGGTTCAGTCAGAAAAGATAAAACATTTCCATCACCACAAAGGAAATGAGAAAGTAGCTGCATTTTCCTGAGCCACAATCCCACAAAGCCTTCCCTTTTCTCACAGATGCACATGCCCCACTAGAGAAGTATCAAGACATTACTCTACACCCAGGTATCCTCACAAAATATGTGCAAGAGTTTCTAGTAGTCTGTACCAAGAGATCAGATAATACTTTACCATATTCAGTGGTACTTTTGGTCCAGTCTGCATTGAAAGGTGTTTTCAGATGACAAAAATCTCCTAACAGCCAGAGCAACACTTCAGGGAAGTGACATGCAGCAGGGTGGAGATGAGGACAAATGTTAATTATATGATCCCAAAGTGGCCCACTTTAAGCACAAACAAATCTGGATGGTGTAATTAAGGTTTTGTTGTTGCTTTTTTTTCATTGCAACTTCTTTTAAAAAAGGAAAGATGATATGAAACTCAATAGCATTGAAATGCTTCCAGTGGCCATTTCTGTACAAAGAAAGAAACGTTGCCTTGAGCCACAGATCTGGAAAAGCCACAGCTGAGTCACAGGCAGCAGTGCTATTCACAGGTGACAAACCCAGAGTGCTCGGTGGTCACCATCACATGCTTTTTACTGGACAGGGCAAGAGAATCTTGCCCTAGAGACTAATTTTGAGATCCCTAATACTACTTCAGCTTCCTGATTTTGGAACAACTACCTTCTGCTCACAAGAAGCATCATCTGGCTTGCTGGAAGGACACATCTAACTCAAGAGGTTTGAGCCTTACCATGAGTTCAGAGCTAATCAAAGACACCTCAGCACAGAGCCAGTCTGCTCAAATCTAGGGCTGACATTACTGCTATGTATTTAAGAAGCAGCACTTACTCTTGCCTGTTTAAAAACAACCAACCACAACAACGACAGAGAGAATGGGAGGATGGGAGGGAAGTGATATTTTTAACTGCAATAGGTCTCTGAGCAAGTCCACAACACAGCTGCCTGAACAGCTGTACCAGTAAGACAAGGCAGGCAGCACAGGAGCAAGGATGAATATTTCAGAGCTACACATTTTTTTTTGCATAGGGATCACTGCTACAAGAAATGCTTATAAAAGTACATCCTAGCCCTTCCCAAACCCATCCTGCACAGGCTTATACACTGTTCTGATCCCTGTGGTATTCAAGAGCTCTGTCTTGTTAGTCAGTCATGGTGCTAGCAGTGCTGGTGGGCGCTTTCTCCAGCCTCCCCAGAGACATAAGCATGGGAGGACTTTAGCTTTAGTTTTGTTTTTTTGGTTTTTTACTTCATTCTACTCACACCCAGACACACTTCTCTGCTTGGAAAAATACACGTTACAGAAACATGTTTGGCACATGGTAAGAAAGTGGGAAGGCCATGGTAGGACATTGATCCTTGTATTCTGATAGTCTTGCACCAACCCCAGAACCTCATCTGTATCACTGAGCTTTATTCCTACAATACAGCAATGATTGTTTAACGTTTTTGGATTTACAGGCCACTAAAGACTTCCTAAAGAAAGCATGTGCTCAAAATAAAAAGGCAAAATCCATACAGACTCGTGTTCCATAAACAGGCCTGCTTCTTCTAGATGCTCCTCCAGAGAAGTGCTGGAAGTTGTCCATGGCTCTCCAAACAAACAAGCAAAACAAGCTCCTCAAATTCTCAGCTCTGACAGGCTACAGCTGAAAGCTGCTGGATGTCACAGACATAAAGCAGGGACAAAGGCTCCTGTTTAGATTGTTTTGAAGTTCAGTGCCAGGAACAAGAAGCACATACAGGCCAGAGTACCAACTTCCCTGGTGCAGCTTCCAGCTCCTGACCCAAAGGTGCCTAGGTCCAGTGCCATCCGCAACATGGCCACACAGCACCCAGACCTGAGGCTGTGCCCTGCCACCGCCTGTCCCACATCCACACGACACAGCAAAGTGAATGGGGACGCTGCCCTGGGATGAGCCACCAACTTGCAGGCTTCAACATGAATAAAGGGGCTGGGTCTTAAACCAGGGATATTAACCCACCAAGGTCCAGTACAGAGAGAGGGAAGCTGGACAGTTAGCACAGATATGCACACTGGAAGCTCCTCAGTGTCCGTGTTCCCTGGTATTCCCATCTCACAGAGGACACAGCATGGAACGGACTGGTAGGGCAGCAGCAAGCCTTGGGTTTGTCCACACATTTGGAATTATTTGAGCATTGCTGAAGAAGCCATTTGGCTGCACACACACTCCTGTTACAAACCCAAACAGACAGTTCAAGCACACAGCCCTCTCTTTGTGCTGCTGTGGCTGCTGGCAAGGCAGGCAGCACAAGACCTTTCGTCACTGTCAGAAACTTGGCTGGGCTGGCTGCCTCCAACTCATCTGAGCACATTATTCTCAAGTCCCATCAGCCTGAGAACAGCGTGCAAAGGAAGATGAGAACATCCCATTATGAAGACAACGAAGCCCTGTCAGACAGCCATGAAGCAAGGCATGGGGACACCTGCACCTCCCTAGCAGATTTTGGGCTGATGGCAGTGTAGAGCATTCCCTCACAACTAGACCCAGTACCCATGGCACCCAGCCAAGCATGACAGCAGCTGCAAGTGAGGCCAAGGATCCTTGAAGACTCACAATGAGACAACTATGAAATAATTGGAGATGTGGACTGGCTAGGCACAGCCCAAACTGAAGTTTCATCAGCACTAGTTCTCATTCCCTGCCCTATCTCAGCAGGGTACAGCACAACCATTACTACGTATTATGTACGCTGGGTTTGTGCTGAGAAATAGGATGGCCCCAATGAAAACAGACTCAATTTCTCCTCTCTGAAACACTTCATATTTAAGGGACAAGAAATCCATTTCCTTGCTCCCTAACTGTATGTCTAAAAAATGAAAGGTGAGATTAATATTACCTTCACTGTTGTAAATTAACTTCCCATCCCTGGGCCCCGGCTGGGAGTGACCAGGCAGTCAAACAACAGCAGGGGTGTAATCAGAGCTACAATTGGCAAGTCCAGTGAAGCCTGAAACAGTCACACCAGGTTTACCATAGTCTGATTAAGCCAATCTGCCTTGGCATAGCAGGGAGCAGACCAGGAATACACTCTGGCACAGCTGTCAATAAAGAAATACCTGCCCAGACACAGTGGCTGCTGTGTCCAGCAGAGGTGCCAGCTGGGAGGATGAGGGCAGAAGCATCACCCTTAACAGTGATCCAAAATCCATGTACAGAAGAGGCTCACTTGCCAGCTCACTTGTCTTGAGGAATCCTCGAGAGCCTCTCTACAAGCTTCAAGCACAGGTCTTCTCCTCTGGTAGTTCTCACTGGAAATATGTCTTTTTGTGCATTGGTGCATCTGATGCTCTTGGAAGCAAGGTTGCAGCCCTGCCTTTATGGCAGAAAGTCCCTAGGTACAACAGCTCAGCAAAATTTCATGAAATAACCTCTTCCATTTTACATTCTGCCACCCACCTCACTAACTTTCTACAGCATTACCTCAGTTCCACAGCTCAGCATTTCTGACACCCCAAACTGCTTCAAACAGATCAAGGTAACCACAAGAGAGGAGCAAAGGCAGCCTTAGATGTTGTTAGTGATACTCAGGTGTGTGACAAAGAGGTAGGTAACACCCAAGAATGGGTGGTGTGGAACA